GGCGAGAGGTTGCGGCAGCAGAGGCGGGAGGCCGAGGCTGGAAAGGGAGGAATTGCTGAAGGAAAAGGGGAATTAAAAAAAAAAAGGGAAAAGCTCAAGCGCCCAACGTGGGGCTCGAACCCACGACCCTGAGATTAAGAGTCTCATGCTCTACCGACTGAGCTAGCCGGGCTCCTCCGCCCTGAATTTTTTTCTTCTTTCCTGTGTTTGCCTTTGCCTCTTTTTTTCCCCCCCCTCCTGCCTCTTCTGTGCCCCCTCCGCAAAGGGGGGGAAAAAAAGGGAGAATTTCTTTTGCAAGAGGTTTCTTGCACCCTCCTCCTCCAGCGGCTGCACCGCCAGACAGGAAAAATCCGCCCCTGCTGCCTCTCGCCTCCCATGAGCCCTCCTAGGTGGGTGGTGGGTGAACGAGGAGAGCCTTCGAGACCGGCTGGAAAGCCTGGGATTTCTTACTAGACGACTTTGGGTCTTGCAATTAAATGCAAGGTGAGCAAGAGATGGGTCAGGAGGGAACCTCGCGATGAAATTTTTCCCTGCTCGGATGATTTGAACACCAGAAGGAGTAGCGGAAGGCTCCGAGACTCCAGAGACCTCTCCCCCCCCCCCATTCCTTTTTTAAACCCGTGCTTTTGCACCCAGAGACCCGGGTGTTTTTTTAAACTTTGGGATAAGGGTGAGGGGCGAGGGAGGGGGTGCGGGTTTGCGGGTGGTTTCTGTAGTGTAGTGGTTATCACGTTCGCCTCACACGCGAAAGGTCCCCGGTTCGAAACCGGGCAGAAACACACCGGGCAAAAATGAACTTTTGCCACTTTCGTGCAGAGATTTGTGAATCAGCGGCTTCGATATTCCTGGAAGAGAAGGTGAAACAGCTGCTGGAGAAATATTTCTCTTGTAGAAATAGCTCGGCAGTTTGCACCTCTGATGGGTGCTTTGTGGGAATAACCAGTAACTTTCTGGCAGAAGTGAAATCTAAAGGTATTAAAAAGAGGATAAATATTGGTGAGTTTGGGCAAATTAAGACAAAAGGAAGCTTTCTTTTTTTCCCTGACCGGGAATCGAACCCGGGCCGCGGCGGTGAAAGCGCCGAATCCTAGCCACTAGACCCACAGGGAGCGCGCTTCGGGGCTATTTCTGGCAATCCCATCTTTTATCTCGGCACGGGTTTGGGGCGCCTCTTGCAGAGGGCAGGAGGAAGGGCTGTGCCAGCGCCGCCTTCACCCATCCCGGCTCTGACCGAGCTCCCAGGGAGCGAGGAAAAAAAAATCCGCCAGGCTCCAGGGGCAGAAAACAGAAAATGCAGATTATCTCCAGCGGCACCAACGTCGTTTCTAGCGCTTTTTGGCCCCAAAGCTGCCACCTCGCAGTA